AAAGCTCTGCCACCCAAAAACCACCTCCTTTGAGAATATATTACATGGACATATCACTTCTTGGAGACCATCGTTGGAGATACCTGAGACGAATGTGGCGTCTCTTTGGTATATGACCCAAGCTTTTGCGAAACATGAGCGAACACCTCTATAAATGAATATGCATGTACTCTAGAAAATGATATCGTTGGCACGCTGTAGCGCGACGCGAGATGTGGCAATGGGACTTCACAAGTAGCGCGGCGACACGAGAGAAGAGGAGAATTATCCAATATTATGCATATTAGTAGTGCTACTCCTACTTGCGCTTCAGTACAACGTCGTGAAACGTAATGTAGCTCATGTCATTGACCTACGGGCGGCCCATCGCAGGTGTCATCACGGACTTGGTCGCATGCGCGCTCGCGCGACACTGCATCCATGGCAGTCACGTCGTGTACTTGGTGGCCTGCAGCGGACGCCACTGTTGCGATTATCTTGTGGGCTTTTGAGAACTTGGTGGCATCGTATTTCTTCTGCAGGTCGAATGAACGCAGCTTCCGCAAGGGACCTATGCGGCTGGCCGGGATGCCTCAAACCATATCCACTAGAGACTGTATACGTTGTACTTGGGCAGCCCGAATTCAGCTGGGACGGGGTTGAGGCGTTCACCCCATGTGAACGTCGCTGCCGGTGCGGCCCTCAGCAATCACAAGCTCACGCGCTGTGCTGGCTCGACGTTGGGTCGACATGGACTTGCGAAAGCTTGCGAAGCACGCAACTAAGACAGGGCATCGTCGTTGCAGCGCGATAACACGGGCATTCGCTTACCTCGAGTGAAGTTGCCCTCAAGAGGTCCTTGCATGGCTGCGGGACCGACATCGCTGATGCGTACTGGGTACTTATGTCCGTGACGCCCTTGTGTCACGCTGCACTTGCCTGGACTCGCTGGTTGTTGACAGGCGTCGCCATCGTTCGCACAGGCTCCTCATGCTCTGTCGTCACTAGCTCGGCTCCTCGGCCTCGGCTCCCCGGTAAGGATCGTGGCTGGCGCCACCATGGTCTCCCGTTGCGTCTTCGCCAGGCTCGCGCTGTCGAGCTCCGTGGATGCAATCGCCCGAGGTCGTTGCTAGTGTTTCTGTGCTGCCACTGCCGCCACTGCGTCGGTCTTACGACCTGTTAACTTCCCACTCGAAGTAGACAGGCCTGCTCCTGATTGGTCAGAATGGACTATTTTGCGACACGCCGCTTCGACTTCGAAAACGAAGTTCTGTAATAATATGCCCTTATCACCTCACCCTTACCCCGCTAGCAAACCATCTTCCCTGTCCACCTCACTCCCTTTCCCCGAAT